TTGTTTAATTTTGATGATTACAAATGACAACAAATGAAAATCTCAAATTCATCATATCAGAAAATTAGAATATTGTGAAAAGGTTCAAAATTGATGGCCCCTGGTGCCACACTCTAATCAGCTAATTAACTCAAACCACCTGCAAAAGCCTTTAAATGGTCTTTCAGTCTAGTTCTATAGGCTACACAATCATGGGGAAGACTGCTGACTTGACAGTTGTCCAAAAGACGACCATCGACACCTTGCACAAGGAGGGCAAGACACAAAAGGTCATCGCTAAAGAGGCTGGCTGTTCACAGAGCTCAGTGTCCAAGCACATTAATAGAGAGGCGAAGGGAAGGAAAAGATGTGGTCGAAAAAAGTGTACAAGCAAGAGAGATAACCGCACCCTGGAGAGGATTGTGAAACAAAACCCATTCAAAAATGTGGGGGAGATTCACAAAGAGTGGACTGCAGCTGGAGTGAGTGCTTCAAGAACCACCACACACAGACGTATGAAAGACATGGGTTTCTGCTGTCGCATTCCTTGTGTCAAGCCACTCTTGAACCACAGACAGCGTCAGAAGCGTCTTGCCTGGGCTAAAGAGAAACAGGACTGGACTGCTGGTGAGTGGTCCAAAGTCATGTTCTCTGATGAAAGTAAATTTTGCATTTCCTTTGGAAATCAAGGTCCCAGAGTCTGGAGGAAAAGAAGAGAGGCACTTCATCCACGTTGCTTGAAGTCCAGTGTAAAGTTTCCACAGTCAGTGATGGTTTGGGGTGCCATGTCATCTGCTGGTGTTGGTCCATTGTGTTTTCTGAGGTCCAGGGTCAACGCAGCCACATACCATGAAGTTTTAGAGCACTTCATGCTTCCTGCAGCTGACCAACTTTTTGGAGATGCAGATTTCATTTTCCAACAGGACTTGGCACCTGCACACAGTGCCAAAGCTACCAGTACCTGGTTGAAGGACCATGGTATCCCTGTTCTTAATTGGCCAGCAAACTCTCCTGACCTTAACCCCATAGAAAATCTATGGGGTATTGTGAAGAAGAAGATGCAATACACCAGACCCAACAATTCAGAAGAGCTAAAAGCCACTATTAGAGCAACCTGGGCTATCATAACACCTGAGCAGTGCCACAGACTGATCGACTCCATGCCACGCCGCATTGCTGCAGTAATACAGGCCAAAGGAGGCCCAACTAAATACTGAGTGCTGTACATGCTCATACTTTTCATGTTCATACTTTTCAGTTGGCCAACATTTCTATAAATCCTTTGTTTTTATTGGTCTTCAGTAATATTCTAATTTTCTGATATGATGAATTTGAGATTTTCATTTGTTGTCATTTGTAATCATCAAAATTAAACAAAATAAACATCTGAAATATATGAGTTTGTATGTAATGTATGAATATAATATACAAGTTTCACTTTTTAAATGGAATTACTGAAATCAATCTACTTTTTCATGATATTCTAATTTTATGACCAGCACCTGTAGATTTGTTTGGGGCTGGATCCTCCCCTGGATGTTCCAATTTTGGACTTAAGTACTTAGCACAGCAGCACAGGTTAGATTACCCAAAAGCCTCAGAATTTGTGAAAAAGAACTTTTACGTAGACGATGGGCTGACAAGTGTTCCATCTGTCAAAGAGGCTCAGGAGCTCGTCACTGAAGCACATGCCCTTTGCAAACGTGGAGGTTTACATCTGCACAAATTCAATTCTAACCAATGTGACGCTCTGTCTCATCTTGCACCCTCAGAAAGAGCAACCACAACAGAGTCACTCAACCTCAAACCTGATACTTCATATGAAGGCCATGTGCTTGGAATCCAGTGGTCAATCAAAAGTGACACATTCAGTTTCAATGTAAACACAAAGAACCAGCCTCCCACTCGTCGGAGCATACTGTCAGTGATTTCATCTTTGTATGACCCACTAGGGTTTGTAGCCCCCTTTTGCTTGAGTGGTAAAAGTATAGTACAGGAGCTCTGCCGTAAAGGGATCGGATGGTATGATCCCATTCCCGACAACCTACGCTCAAGGTGGGAGGACTGGAAAAATAGTTTGGAAAAGCTCAAATCAGTAGAAGTACCCAGATGTTACCATCCACCAGAACTAAAGGACATCATTAAAGTGGAGTTGCATCACTTTTCTGATGCGAGTAGCATTGGTTATGGGGCATGCTCCTACATTAGGTTCAAAAGTGATGACAACAAAGTACACTGTAGTCTGGTCATGGCTAAAGCTAGAGTCGCACCTACCAAAGTTACAAGCATCCCACGACTAGAACTCTCAGCTGCAGTCATCTCTGCCAAAATCAGTGTAATGCTAAAATCAGAGCTTGAGATGCGCATTGATGAGGAGTTCTTTTGGACAGACTCCCAAGTTGTTCTAGCATATATCAACAATGAGGCACGAAGATTTCATGTCTTTGTTGCAAACCGCGTCCAGCTGATTAGGCAGATTACAGATCCTACGCAGTGGCACTATATTGACACAGCTCAAAATCCAGCAGATCATGCTTCCAGAGGCCTTAGGGCATCAGAAATCATGAAAACTTGCTGGTTGTCTGGCCCAAAATTTCTGTGGGAACAAGAGATTTCCTTCCCAGCCACGCAGCCAGCTGAGGTGCTGGTGGGAGATCCAGAAGTTAAAGTAGTCAAAACCTTTACAACTCAAACAAGTGAGCAAGACATCATCCTCAGTCGCCTTGAAAGGTTTTCGAGCTGGTCAATGCTACTTAAAGTGGTTGCAAGAATAAAAAGACTGACAAATAAATCCCAGCATGGCAATGTTATTTCAGTGGATGAACGTAAAAGAGCTGCTGATATAATAATAAAACTTCTCCAGCAACAAGCCTTTCCTCAAGAGGTAAAGTTGCTGAACACAGATGAAAGCCTGCCAAGCTCTAGCCCTCTTTTCCTGCTGGATCCCATTCTAGATCATGGACTTCTCAGAGTTGGCGGAAGACTAAAAAACTCAACGCTTTGCAAAGAACTGAAATACCCAATCATCCTCCCAAAAAACCATCATATTACAACATTGATCATAACTCACTTTCATGAAAAAATTTGTCATCAAGGCAGAAGCCAGACACTCATGGAAATCAGAGCAAATGGGTTTTGGGTGATTGGTGGGAGCAAGCAAGTTGCAAAGCTAATAAACAAATGCGTGCAGTGTCGAAAACTTCGTCGGCCCACAGAGGATCAACGTATGTCAGAACTACCAAAGGAACGAGTCGAAATCTCAGATCCTTTCATTTACTGTGGAATGGATTGTTTTGGACCTTTCACCACCAGACAAGGCCGCAAAGAGCATAAAAGGTATGGTCTCCTCTTTACCTGCCTCTATTCACATGCAGTCCACATTGAAATGTTAGAGGACCTCTCTACAGACTCTTTCATTAATGCCCTTAGATGCTTTGTCAGCTTAAGAGGAACTGTCAGTAAACTGTACTGTGATCAAGGCACAAATTTCATCGGGGCCAAAAATGAGCTGAAGGAAGCTCTCAGAGAATGTGATCCAAATGCACTGGAGGCATTTCTTGCAGACAAACAATGTGAATTTGTATTTAATGCCCCCTCTGCTAGCCATGCTGGAGGTGTGTGGGAACAACAGATTCAAACCATTAGGAACATTCTCAATGTCACCATTGCCAAATCACAAGGCAGGCTGGATGATGCTTCTCTAAGAACACTATTTTATGAGGCAATGTCCATCATCAATGGTCGACCACTCAGTGTTGATGGAATTAATGACCCCAAGTCACCTGAACCATTAACTCCAAACCATCTCATTTTAATGAAATCAAAGGTTGCTCTGCCTCCCCCTGGACAGTTTGTGAAGGAGGACCTATATGCAAGAAAAAGGTGGCGCAGAGTTCAATATCTCGCTGAACAGTTTTGGAGTAGGTGGAAAATGGAGTACCTTCTGAACATATCTATAAGACAGAAATGGCACCAGCCCCGTCGCAATCTTAAGGTGAATGACATCGTTATCATCAAGGAAGACATGCTTCCCAGAGGCCAATGGCAACTGGGTCGGGTTGTTGAAGCTCCACAAGAAGAGGATGGCTTGGTGCGCAGAGTCAAGCTTCAGGTTGGCAATCGAAATCCAACAATGAAGTGGGACGCAAAACACAAACCTCATATACTTGAGCGACCTATTCAAAAACTTGTAGTTCTTCTAGAAAGTCACTGACACATTTTTTGCTCTCATGTTTGACATATAACAGTAAGGTTGGTTGTTACTGTTAACTGCATTTTGTTTGTATATTACTCCCTTGAATGTTTGTTGTTAAACTGGAAATCATGTATGAATAGTTTTAGTCATACATGATTTGGTGGGAGTGTGAATGTCAGTTCTTTGTTTTAAGCTGAATCAATGCTGTTACTCCTTCTGTACAGTAGGGGGTGCTGTAGCTCAGTTGGCAGTAAGCTGCAAGTGAGTAAGAAAGTTTGTTACCTTCCTGTCAGTCAGTGCTCAGGGCTTAATATCCCACAGACGAGAGGATGAAAGAAGGCACCTTTTTTTTTGTTTGAGATGAGGACTTGGTGCATGTTTGTCTGAATGCAGCTTGATGAGGCTCGTTAGCAGCAGATTTTTTGGAACTACAGCTAAAAACTTTGCAGCCCTTGGACAGCGGAGCGAGGTACAGGTTTAAGACATTATTTGTTTACAAATTTTGCACTTTATGTGATGTTTATTTTGTTCTGTGTCAAAGAAAGGTATCTAAGCAGATGTATTTTGTGTTTGTTTGTTTAGTTTTCACGGTGTGAACTCATTATGAATCCATTAAATGGAAAACAACTCCACCCGTCGAGGCTCTCTGTTTCTTCTTTGGTCTGAGGGACTGCTACAATCGCAGTTATCCAAGTTACAAAAATCTACAACAAAAAGAAAAAATATTAGGGCAGAAACTGAACATCTGATGGAGATTATTTTAATGCGTCATATTAAATGAAACGTTCATCTCTGCATGTTTTGCTCCTATGAATTTAATGATAACATGGCGCTGCTCTCCTGGAGCGATACAGGAGGAACAGTGGAGGCTGGAGGCTTTGAGCAGGAGGTCTGCATGCTGCTGAGCGGAGGAGGTGGGATTTCAGGGTCAGTCTCCTTCTCCTCGCTCCCTTCTAGACTCCTCTGTTCACACCTGCTCCCACTCTTTGTTTCTCTCTCCCATATATCCTCCTCCTGCTCGGTCCCTCTGGCAGCTTTGGACTCTCAGGTTGGGTGAAGGTTTGACCCAAATGGAGACACTGAGGCTGAAGAAGGTTTCATGCTGATTTAATTATCACAAAAGGCAACAAAACAAAAATCATAAATCTTCAAGATCCACAAAAATAGAGATAACCAAAAAAACTAAATTAAAGAGGAAGAAATGATGACAAACCATTTAGTTTGAAGCTAAATGTTAAGTTTGCAAATAATTATTTAGTTTTTTAAGTAGATATTTTGCTCCAAACTAAATATTTATTTCACAAACTAAATATTTAGCTAGCCACAAGCTAGCTAAACAGCTAGCGCTTAAACCATTCTAGATCCCTGCTGAGTCTGAGCTTATGCTAACCACACAGCCCTGCTTCTGATCCTCAAAGACAAACTTTTTCATAACGAGTTTCCTGTGTTTCCTGCAGCTGTTAAAGAAGAACCGATTCCGGATCAGGAGCAGTGGGAACAGGAGCTCCACCCCATAAAGGAGGAGCCGGAGGCCAGGTTTCCATTCACTGCTGCTCATGTCAAGGATGAAGAGGATGAAGCGAAACCTTCGATCTCTGAGCCTGAACCACAACCAGAAGGTGGAGCTTTTCCAAGCGGCGCCTCGGCGAAGCTTCTAAAGGCAGAAATCAAAGAAGAGGACTGTGGAGCAGAAGAATCCAACAGAAAACCAGATCTAAACTCTCCTGGTGGCTTTTTCAGCTGCTTCAAGACTAAAGACCACGAAGATGAAAAGATTTATAATGTAAATCATCATAAAACTCTCCTCAAACGCCTGCCAGATACTGAAGCTGAAGACGGTGAGCCGTGGGAAATAATAGCGGACAGATCTACTCAGGTTCGAGGGACGCGCAAAACGAGATGGAAACAGGAAGATGTAGATTTATGGAAGGAAGGTCAGAACTACCGCGAAGGTGATGATACTATAAGCAGGAATCAAAATAAGCTGAAGGACTTAACAATCCGGAAAAAGGACAAATCTTTCAGTTGTGAAGCATGTAGTAAAATTTTTTCCTCAAAGTCAAACTTGAACAGACACACAAAGAGCCACACAGGAGAGAAACCCTTTGGTTGTGATGTTTGTGGTAAAAGGCTAACCTCAAAGGATGTTTTAGACAGACACAAGAAAATCCACACGGGAGAGAAACCCTTTACTTGTGATGTTTGTGGGAGGCGGTGGCCGTCAAAGACCGATCTGAACAGACACCTGACCAGCCACACTGGAGAGAAGCTCTTCAGTTGTGCCTATTGTGGTAAAAGACTCACTTCAAAATCAATTTTAGACAAACACGTGAGAATCCACACAGGAGAAAAGCCCTTTGTTTGTGATGCCTGTGGTAAAAGGTGCATCTCCAAGTCGGCCTTAAACAGACACATCAAAAGCCACTCGGAGGAGAAACTCTTTGGTTGTGAAGTTTGCAAGAAAAGTTTCCCCCTAAAGTCTGAGTTAAATACGCACATGAAAATCCACTCGGGAGAGAAACCGTTTAGTTGTGATGCTTGTGGCAAAAGATTTTTTTTCAAGTCGGCATTAAATAAACACATGCGAATCCACACAGGAGAAAAACCCTTTGACTGTGATGCTTGTGGCAAAAGATTTGCCACAAAGTTCATCTTAACGTGTCACATGAGAAGCCACACAGGAGAGAAGCCATATGCTTGTGACGCTTGTGGCAAAGGATGCACTTGGAAGTCAGAATTAATTAAACACATGAGAATCCACACAGGGGAGAAACCATTCGCTTGTGATGTCTGTGGTAAAAGATTTACATGCAAGTCAGACTTAAACAAACACTTGAGAGTTCACACAGGAGAGAAACCATATTGTTGCAATGTTTGCGGGCAAAGATTTAGCACCAAATTGATTTTAAACAGACACATGAGAATCCACACAGGAGAGAAACCCTTTGCTTGTGATGCATGTGGGGAAAGATTTCTTTGCAAGACGCAACTCAAAAAACATAGGAGCGTCCACACAGGAGAGAAACCCTTTGGTTGTTAGGATTGAGGTAAAAGATTTGCATCAAGTTTAATCAGAAAGACGAGACACACAAGAGAAACCAGCTCTTCTTCTTGAATATTTATCTGTAAACTATGGAAGAGGATTAAGGCAACAGAAAAAATTAAAAAATTAACAGCTTAAAAAAGTTAGTTATTTCAGTTTAATATGGGGAAAAAAGTAAGAACTCTGACTGAATTCTGACAGCTAAAAAAACATGTTAGCATCAAGCCGTAGCCATGTCTGATTTAGAGACTAGCTCTCTTGTTTTAATCACCTTCTGTTCTTCCATTAATCAAATATCATCAGCAGGGACCCTCAGGGACGGAAAAAGTCGCCTAATTCCATCATTTTCCTACAATGACTTCCTGTTCCTCCCAAACATCTCACATTTCTGTCAGTGAAGCTGAGTGCTCCACATCTCTGCCTTCATGGCGCCCATCTATATTAAGATCCACAACTCAGAGATTAAATTCTGAGATCAAAACCAGAATTCTGACTTTTTTCCCATAATAAACTGAAATAATATTTAAAAATCCTTTTTTTTACTCCCCTCCTGTAATAAACAGAAATCCAACATTGCTGTGGAAAAAAGATGAAACTAATATAAACGGACATTTTCAAACCCTGAACTCTCCAGACATGTAGATCAGCTTTACAAGGTTTTAAAAAATAAGAATCTAAACAGAAATAGTGACCTCCAGGTGTATTTTCTCGCTGGAGTGAAACCGTTCCCCTGCTTTATGCATTTATATGTGCTTTTCATGCAAAAAGGGTTTTGATATTTTTATCATGATTTTATTTGGTTATTTTTGTAATAGATGTGCTAAGAGCAAACTTTTACATTTATTCATTTATTTATTTCACCATGATCATTGTTATTGGACAGCATTTATTTTACCCACATTGCTGTGAAAAGCATAAAGGTAGAGCAAAGGACACCAGTGTTTCTCTCTTTACTCTTAGAAACATTTAATAAAAGGCTGTTTTTTTAGTTGCATTTGCTTTGCTGAGAGGAAAATATCTGGCTGGCTTTTATTTTGACATGTAACCTCCATGTGTTCGTGTGACGTCACAGCGTAACGTGGCTAAACTTCAGAAGGACATTAAGAAATCAGCCACAGGAAATAAACTCTGTTAATGTTTTTAATAAGGACGTTTACGCACAACTTTAGGACGGGGTCTAAAGACAGCGAGTTAGGAACCGTCTCTGGTTTCCAACCAGGTTTGTTTTCTTTAATCATTCCTGTAATGGTCTGATTTGTGGCAGCATTTTATGTATTTATTTATTTTTTCCTTTTTTCTCTTTTTTTTCTTTTGTTTTCTTTAGTTTTTATTTATATCTTTTTCTTTTATTTTTTTCTGAAATATTTTTCCTTTTTGTCTTATTTTTTTCTTTCTTTTTTATTTTTTTTCTTTATTCTTTATTTTTTTTTTTTATTTTTTTTTTTCTTTCATTTTTTTTGTTTCTCTTAGTTTTCCTTTTTATCTTTCTTTTTTTTTCTTTTATTTTGCTTCTTTTTTTCCTTAAATATTTTTCCTTTTTTTCTTCTTTTTTCTTCCTTTTTTATGTTGTTTCTTTTTTTCTTTATTTATTTATTTACTTTTTTTTTTTCCTTTTCTTTAATTTTTTTTCTTTGTTTCTTTTAGTTTTTCTTGTTTTTTTCTTCTTTCTTTTTCTTCTTTTCTGTGACCATCAAACAGCTTAATACCAGTTTAATTTAGTCTTAATTCTATTAACAGTTTAATTTCAGTTTATTGTCTTATAGTTCAGTTTCAGCATAACGCGGTTTTAGGAACAGTTTATTTTCATGCTAAAGCTAAATGGAAACCAGTGCGAGAACAAACTGGAACCAGTTAGAAGCTGTTAGTATTTCACAGAAATAATGAACAGTGAAAATAATGGAAAAAAAAGAAATTTTTGCTAAAAGGTTTTGTTAATCGAAAGAGAGAAAATAATAATCTTTTAAATGATTGATAACGATATTTATAATCAGATTTATGAATTATGGTTTTTAAAATTATTATTTATATAGCTGTATTTAGCAATGGGTTAATATAATTTAACTTTCATTTTTAATGATTAAATTCAAAAAAAAAAACTGTGAAACTGTATTAAATGTATAATTTACATATGAATTTTAAATTATTTTTTTTCTCCTGATCCTCCATATTTTCCAATAGTTTTTTTGCTAATGTGTTAGCATTCACTAGCTAAGCAGATGGAGGCTAACTATGCTAACAGAGAAACTGAATCATAGATAACAGCTTCTAGATTGATCTGTCCTGTGATTGAAGTGAAGGACTGCCTGCTTCATTCAGACCTGAATGAGTTTATTTCTATTTGGGGGGGGGGAAATAAATAAAGTAAATAAAGAAAGAAAAAAATAAAGAAAAACTTATTCTCAGTTTCTGAGGGGCTGGACTTTTTTTTTTCTTTTGTGTTGTTTTATATGAGTATATGTACGTAATTCACTTGTGTTTATTGCAATCAAAACATTAGACCAATAAAAAGAGTCCATGGTATCACCCCCTACCTAATCGGTAGCATTTAGTTCTGAGAGGGGCGTGAAGGACGCCATGTATGTTAAGAGTCAGGTGGACTCAGATTTCAGCTTTAAAAACCTCCAATGCAGCGATAGAGTTCATTCCTTCCCACAACCTCTTTACAGGAGAACAGAAGACCTCTCCTGTTCAGCCAGACCAACTATTCCCTCTAACGACCCCCCTTTCAGAGACATAGACAGGTATGGGGCATTGCAGGCTAACAAAGAAGCCAGACAACCCCCATTCCAAAGGGGGTGACCCGTTCATCCGTTTCTATTTGCATGTTTTCTAAACTAAAACCAGGCTTTGTTGGGCTGCTGGATAAAACCTGGAACTAAACGCTATTTCTGACATTTTGGATTGAAAAAATCTTCCTGGATGGAAGAGAAACGTCTTCAGACTTGGAAACAAAGTCCAGTGGATTGATTTTAACTTTATTAGAATGACTCTGACCTGCATAACTAAGAATCTTCACCAACATATTATTAAAGTTATCAGTTGGTAAAAATGTTTTTATTTACAGCGACTTCAGAACAATAAGCTTTTTATTCCCATTTATGGATCCAAAATCCCACCATAGACACTGGAAATAAATAAAAATGTCTTAAATTAAATGTATTTCCCCTTAATTTGAGTACATAAATGAGATAGTTTGCCAATGGAATGAATATTTTTACTCTTAGAATAAGATAATTAGATAAAATGCATTTAAAATAAGACAATGCAGTTGCATTGTCTTATTTTAAATGTAAATGATCTTGTTCCATAGGCTAAATGTCTCATTTATCTGCTCAATTCAAGACAAATGCACTTATTTTAAGAAAAGTGACTTTTAAAGGATCATTTTTTTGCAGTGAAACACTGAGGTCTGTATGAACATAAACATAAAGATGAGTCAGTCTCATATATGATTAATAAGGATGGTTTTTATAACTACAAGTCTGAATTATTCTTTCAAATCACCTGGAATCTAACTTCGTACATTTAGGGCTGATATCTGTTTTTATAAACTGAATACATTAAAATTACTTTTATCTTAACTTGATACTAAATATTCCTCCAAATGAACCAAAGGAGCAAACTTTTTATCTCTTATTCCATTTTTTTTTTAGATTGAAATTGATTAAAAAAGAGCTCCGTCAATCTAACGTTAAAATAACTTTAAATGAGCTTTAATGCGTATTTAAATAAATATTTTAATAAAAATGAATCAGTTTAAAGTTAATCAAAAACAAAGCGGACTAAGAAATTATTTTTCTAGAACTTTGTATTCCATGGTAACTTTTATTTATTATTGGAATAATTTAATATGTTTATTTAACTTTGAATTAAATCTTTCTACCAGTATAATCTAAAAAACTTTGGATAATTTAAATCATTTTTCCATTTTAGCTGCAGATTGTTAAAAGCTTCAGTCGCTTTAAATGTTTATTTTTCATAAATAACATAAATGAAATAAATAAAAAATTAGGAAGCAGTCAGAGAGTGGAGGTTTGTCGCCACCTACTGGTGAATCGTCCAAAGTACAATACTCTAATTAGTCACATTTTTTATTTATTTTTTATTTAATGAAAAAAATCACTTTGTAAACAACAGAATAGAAACAATAAATATTTAAAGGAAAAGTTCCTTTATTTTCTGTAATTTAATTATCTGCTGATTATTTATGCTGTTTATAAAAACCATAAAAACTACAGGAAACCTTAACTGGTGTGTTTATTTGTGACGTTTTATGGAGTTAGTCACGTGGTAGGGATCAGCTACGTCATCAGCATGAGCCTCGCTGCATAGATCCTGCTGATCCTTTGGATCTGGACCTTCTAGCTGATCCAGATCTTTGGGTTCGGGTCCAAACTCAGCAGCTGGTTCTGCTCCGATCCGGATTCCATGTTTACACCTCGTTTCTTTCTTCAATCCGGTTCTGGTTCCGGTTCTTTGTTCCTGCGGTTTGCAGCCAGCTTGAAGTGATTCTATGTCATGTAGATCTAGAGGTTTGGTTCTTTCAGGTAAAATGATTCTTTTATTGTTTTCTATAAATGTGTTTTTATTTATCATTAAATAGATCATCAAACTTAGAGGAACAGAGATGCTTTTGTAACCCAGAGGAAACTACAGTTGCTCTGTGATGCGTTCATGGTGCATTGCTCTTTTAGCGCTGTTGCGACAGTTTGCAACAGTTTTTTTGGAGTAGAGACTCCAGAATAGAGGGACTTCTGTGAATTAGAAATACCGGATTTTTTGTTGTTGTAGTTATTCTCAAATAAGATTATTAGTTCTTTATCGTGAATCATTATAAGGTTTCTTTCCATATCATTGTTTTGTTTTCTGTTTCAGAAATATAATAATAACTTCTGGTTGATAGTAAACTGCTATCAGGACTCTGAATATATACACTTTCATAGTAATAACCGGTAAACAGAACGGCCGCTAACGTCATTCGGTGGCGCCATCTTGGGGAGGTCAACAGCTCCTCACTGTTTTCAGCAGGAACAGAATCAATTTCAATCAACTTTAACTTTCTGAATATTGAACCAATTTTCACTGTTTTTTTTTTTGTTTGTTTGTTTGTTTGCTGAAAACAAACAAACAAACGTTTCAGTTTATTTAAATCTTCTTAGTGGGATTAAGAGTCACAGAATAATCTGATAGGATTATTCTAGGATTCAAATCAGCCATTCAGACTATATTACTATATACAGAAACATATTTATGCATCTATACACAAATATATACACATGTCTCTCTCTACATATATATATCTATATAGATAGATGGGCTAATCTCTTTCTATGTATAAATATATTGTAAAAAATGTCCGCAGCTGGATTGATTATTTCTATCTATCTATCTATCTATCTATCTATCTATCTATCTATCTATCTATCTATCTATCTATCTATCTATCTATCTATCTATCTATCTATCTATCTATCTATCTATCTATCTATTTATCTATCTATATTGAATGAAAACATCTAGTTTTGTAGCTCCTGACCCTTTTTTCCCGCAGACCTCTTATGGTTCTGGTTTTATTTTCAGGCCTGATAACGGATGGTTGCTAAATCTGAAGACAGCAGGAGGAGACGCTGATGATGGCGGATGTTTTCCATTCCACGCTGCTGCAGCAGCCGTCAGGTTTGGAGGTTTCCACTCTGCAAAAAATAGGTCATTTTTTTATTAAAATAAGTGCATTTTTTCTTGAATTGAGGAAACTTTATCAATGGAAAAAAGACATTTTACATTTAGAGTAAGAAAAAAACTATTTAATTGTCTTATTTTAAGTGTATATTATATAATTATCTTCTTTTAAGAGTAGATTATCTCCTTTAGCTGCTCAAATTAAGGGGAAAAACACTCAGATTTAGCTTAGCTTATTTCTAGATCGTTTTTTTCAGTGCACATCCTGGGAGTCTGTGGGAAACGTTCCCAGAGTCACTCTTAAAATTTCAAATCTAAAAGTGAAATCAGTCAAAAAAAAGCTTCAATTTTGAATCCATTCATGTAGTTTTTGCTCAGTTGACTGTTTTTCAATAAAGTTTCAGTTTCTGAGGTCTGCCCCTATGATTGGAGCCATTTCCAGAGATGGGAAGTAACGAAGTACAAATACTTCGTTACTGTACTCAAGTAGATTTTTCTGATATTTTTACTTTACTTTACTACTTATTTTTATGGCGACTTTTTACTTCTACTCCTTACATTTTTACACAAATATCTGTACTTTCTACTCCTTACATTTTAAAAAATTGTCTCGTTCCTTTAGTTTTGAATCATTTCAATGGAGTTACCGTTATTATTTTTCACGTCATCAATACCAAATTCAATCTAATTGGATGGGAATCTACGTTGCATTTGACGCACCACTACAAGATGAATCGACAGATTCGGCGGTATTCATTGGCGGCAAATCATTGCAGCTTGGTGGCGGTGGCGTTAGCATAGTAGCATGGACGACGAGATGATTGAAAATGAACACAACGGAGATCTAGTCCTATTGGCAGACATCCATTTAAAATGTAGGCAACGGCATGAAAAAAGTGGTTTCTACTTTTACTTTTATACTTGAAGTAAATTTACAAGCCTGTACTTTGTTACTTTTACTTGAGTAAAGAAGTTTAATCAGTACTTCCACTTTTACCAGAGTATTTTTTAACACAAGTATCGGTACTTTTACTCAAGTACGGAAAGTGAGTACTTTTGCCATCTCTGGCCATTTCTAACGAGGTGATGCATTAAAGCTCCTCAGAAAACCTTGTTTTTCTCACAGTTAAACCTCAGCAGTAGATTCTGGCATCAAGATCAGAAATATTCGGGTTTGAAGCCAGAAAAGCTCAGAAACATGGAATGAAAGCAGCCGACCAGGAATCAGATGAGCCCGTACACAGTGTATTATGGTAGAGAGGTATGTATGCAGAGAAGAAGAACGGTCTCATTGGAATCTGTCTTTTTTGTACAGTTTTTTCGTACACATTGACTTCCTAACATTGTTTTTTTTTATCTGGTGAAAATTCACCTGCAAACACATTTTTTGCACAATGCGTAAAAATAATTCAGTCTTTGAAATTCGTTGTACAAAAAAAAATACAGATTCCAGTGAGACAGTTTTTCTTCCGTATGGACGCCCCTGGAAGCAGAAACATCCAACCGGAGGGTTTAATAAGTTGGTTTATCAGTAATGATTAATGAAACATAACTAGTTGATGAATAAAGTTAAACCTCCAGTTTATCAATGTCCTATTAGAACACAGTCTCAGCTCGTACCAACCAATACTAGCTGGTTAGTAGCTACTCATTATGGCGTCTGTTACTCTGAGCTAACTGCTAAAGTTAGCTTGGAGTACCTCTGAGTGAATGGCTAAAGCTAACCAGTTAGCTTTACCAAGCTAACCCTGGAAACAGAGAAATGCTGTGAAGGGAATAATAATTGAATCAGAAGATGTTTTAATGTAACCAGATTGATCTACTGACAGAGACACTGTAAGGTTGTTCATAACGGATGTGATGTTTTCACTGCTGCCTGCAGATGTTAAAGAAGAGGCTCCTGATGCCGACCAGCAGGAGCTCCACCGCATCAAGGAGGAACAGCTGAGTGTGAAGGAGGAGGAGGAGACGCATGATAGCAGCTTTCCTTCTGTTCCCGTGAAAACTGAGGAGGAGGAAGAGAAACCTCTGTTCTTTCAGCTTCATCCGCACAAAACTGAAGACGCAGATTTTCCAATCAGAGCTTCGGCCGAACATATAAAGGTAGAAATGAAAGAGGAGGACTCTGGAACAGCGGAGACCAGCAGGAAGACGGATCTAAAGAGTCACGGAGGCTCTGGAGAGCGTGGAGAAGATTCTGAAACCGAGGATAGCGAGGAGGATCGGGAAGAGAGCAGAGTTCCTGAGGCAGACACAAACACTGTCAGCAAATCTGGGAAACAAGATGCTAACAGATCTATTCTGAGTCGTTCTACGCCGAGATCCATGACTTCAGGACGTTCCATCGATGAGAAATGGTTCACAGAGAGGAAAGAAGAAGAATCACTAAAGAAAAATACTAAACAGCTAAACTGTAGTGATGCTAACATGAACACGGGGGAGAAATCCTTCAGTTGTGCTGTTTGTGAAATTAGATTCACAAGAAAATATAATTTAGTCAGACACATGAGGAATCACACAGGAGAGAAACTGTTTGGATGTGATACTTGCGGGAGACGTTGTTACTCACAATGGGATTTAAACACCCACAAGAAAATCCACACAGGAGAGAAACCCTTTCTGTGTGATTCTTGTGGAAAAGGATTCGTCACCAATGCTCAGTTAGAGAGGCACAGAAGAATCCACACAGGAGAGAAACCCTTTAGTTGTGATACTTGTGGTAAAAGATTCAACTTAAACGAAAATTTAAAGGTGCACTTGAAACTCCACACAGGAGAAAAACCATTTGGATGTGATGCTTGTGGCAGAAGATATCCCTCAAAGGCAGAATTAAATAGACACATGAGAACCCACACTGGAGAGAAACCATTTGTTTGTGATGCTTGTGATAAAGGGTTTTTCTCAAAGTCAGATTTAAATAGACACATAAGAAAACACACAGGAGAGAAACACTTTGGCTGTGATGCTTGTGGAAGAGAATTTTTCACCAAGTCGGAATTGAACAAACACTTGTTAATCCACAAAGGAGAAAAGGTCTACGTTTGTGATATATGTGAAAAAAGATTTAAATCCAAGGCAAGTTTGAACATTCACAAAAAAAGTCACAATGGAGAAAAATCCTTTGTTTGTCATGTTTGTGGGAAAGGATTCACTAGCACGTCCAATTTAAGGAAGCACAAACAAATTCACGATGCAGAAAAACACTTCATCTGTGATGTTTGCGGGACAGGATTTGCCTCCAATGCATATTTAAACATGCATCAAAGAACTCACTCTGTAGAAAAACCCTATGGATGTGATGTTTGTGGAAAAGAATTTAGCTCCAGTGCATATTTAAACATGCACAAAGTTATTCACAGTGGAGAAAAACCTTTTAATTGTGATGTTTGTGCTAAAGGATTCACCTTCAAGTCGTACGTAAAGGAGCACAAAAGAGTTCAACATGGAGAAAATCGTTGTGATATTTGTGGTAAAAGATGTACAACAAGTTCATATTTTAAAAGACACATGGAAATTCACTATTCGACCGAGAAACTGAGAGGAAAGAAGTTACCTTTAGGTAAAGAAAAAAGAGCTCATGTCTGAAGGACATGTAAGGATTCGGTTATTTCTCGCTCTGTTTTCTTATTACAGAAATATTCCTTAAGCTTTTTTGCATCATAATAATTGAATTAAAATATTTCAGTTTAGAAATACATTAAATAACCGATTGTTTTAATCACCTTGTCAGTTTAAACTCTCTGTTCTGACATTTTTTGGGCTGAAGTATTTTTTATTTTAGCAAATTTTGCATAAATCTCTCTGTAATCTTGTTGAAGCCCTAAAGTTGGAAACCATCAAAAGTTGTTGGTCTTTTTTGGTTTATGTCTTAAGTTTTATGAATGTAGTGGGTGTGTTGTGTGCTTATATGCCAATATTACTGTACTTGTACCAATACATTATTTTAAAATTTAGACGACTATAGTGAGCAGGCAATCTTTTATTTGTATTTTTATGGGAAAATGGCATTTTTTATTTAGATGCCCTCATATTGGAGTCATTTGGTGATTTCATATCGATGTGAATAAATAGACGGATAGAATCGTATCAAATCGAGTGTAAAAAAAATATGAAAATAGTAAAAATAACAGTATTGAAAGCACATCTGTACAACTTTAAACAGTCACCAGGCATCTCGTCATCTGAGTGAATTTTATAACATCATCGCGGTCAGAAAATTCAGATTTCTCTTATTTCATATACTGAGTTTTGCTATTTATCCAATAAAAAATGTTTTTACGGCGTCCGTTTCCCCTGAAAGGAGTGTTCTCATGTAATCCCAAAACAAACCGGATTCTTTCTCAGGTTTATTCCATAATTAGGGCCGTATGATGAACTGATCTCTCTTTGCAAAGATGTAATAAATGGCGACTGAGTGAAATCCATCGATCTCTGTTTATTTAATTGGAGTGAATAGTTAAATATTTTTTTTCCCACGACAATTTAGCGTCATTGATTTTTCTGGGAGCAGTTCTGACAGAAGTGTCGGATCAACCTGGGATGATTCCCTGGCTGCAACCCAAACAGACGGAGGATGAAGGATTTCTGACTGAATGTTTCCAGGGGTCAGCAGGACCCCAAAGAAAAATGAATCTAAAACTATAAATAGGATCAATTCAGCTCACATTTATAGTAAATGTTGATAATAGATTGTTTTTCAGGAAGGAACCTGATCATCTGGATCATCAGTTCTTTCTGTAAATGATGATCTGGATCATCAGTTCTTTCTGTAAATGAATCAGTCCATTTAGCAGGATCTTTACTATATTCAGGGTTTCAGGAGGAGAATATAACTTTTCAACATAAAAAGGTTGGTGATGTTTATTAAAGATAAATGTAATGACTTTGGTATTAATAACGATTAAATTAATTGGAAAAATAGTTAAATTAGTTTTAAACGTTTTTGTTTAGTTGACTCTAAAACTGCAGACAAGCCAACTTTAAAAAAAGGTAGAGACCCGTTAGCAGCAGGCAGTGACCCGTTAGCAGCAGGTAGTGACCCGTTAGCTGCAGGTAGAGACCCGTTAGCTGCAGGTAGAGACCCGTTAGCAGCAGGTAGAGACCCGTTAGCTGCAGGTAGAGACCCGTTAGCTGCAGGCAGTGACCCGTTAGCAGCAGGTAGTGACCCGTTAGCTGCAGGTAGTGACCCGTTAGCTGCAGGTAGAGACCCGTTAGCTGCAGGTAGTGACCCGTTAGCTGCAGGTAGAGACCCGTTAGCTGCAGGTAGAGACCCGTTAGCAGGTAGAGACCCGTTAGCAGCAGGTAGAGACCCGTTAGCTGCAGGTAGAGACCCGTTAGCTGCAGGCAGTGACCCGTTAGCAGCAGGTAGTGACCCGTTAGCTGCAGGTAGTGACCCGTTAGCTGCAGGTAGAGACCCGTTAGCTGCAGGTAGTGACCCGTTAGCTGCAGGTAGAGACCCGTTAGCTGCAGGTAGAGACCCGTTAGCTGCAGGTAGAGACCCGTTAGCAGCAGGTAGTGACCCGTTAGCTGCAGGTAGAGACCCGTTAGCTGCAGGTAGTGACCCGTTAGCTGCAGGTAGAGACCCGTTAGCTGCAGGTAGAGACCCGTTAGCAGCAGGTAGAGACCCGTTAGCAGCAGGCAGTGACCCGTTAGCAGCAGGTAGTGACCCGTTAGCTGCAGGTAGAGACCCGTTAGCTGCAGGTAGAGACCCGTTAGCAGCAGGTAGTGACCCGTTAGCCGCAGGTAGTGACCCGTTAGCCGCAGGTAGAGACCCGTTAGCAGAGGGTAGAGACCCGTTAGCCGCGGGTAGTGACCCGTTAGCAGCGGGTAGTGACCCGTTAGCAGCGGGTAGAGACCCGTTAGCCGCGGGTAGTGACCCGTTAGCAGCGGGTAGTGACCCGTTAGCCGCGGGTAGAGACCCGTTAGCCGCGGGTAGAGACCCGTTAGCCGCAGGCAGTGACCCGTTAGCCGCAGGTAGAGACCCGTTAGCCGCAGGCAGTGACCCGTTAGCCGCAGGCAGTGACCCGTTAGCCACAGGTAGTGACCCGTTAGCAGCAGGTAGAGACCCTTTAGCCGCAGTTAGAGAACCGTTAGCTGCAGGTAGAGACCCGTTAGCAGGTAGAGACCCGTTAGCCGCAGGTAGAGACCCGTTAGCCGCAGGCAGTGACCCGTTAGCAGGTAGAGACCCGTTAGCAGCAGGTAGAGACCCGTTAGCAGGTAGAGACCCGTTAGCAGCAGGTAGAGACCCGTTAGCAGGTAGAGACCCGTTAGCAGCAGGTAGAGACCCGTTAGCCGCAGGTAGTGACCCGTTAGCCGCAGGTAGAGACCCGTTAGCCGCGGGTAGAGACCAGTTAGCCGCGGGTAGAGACCCGTTAGCAGGTAGAGACCCGTTAGCCGCAGGTAGAGACCCGTTAGCCGCGGGTAGAGACCCGTTAGCCGCGGGTAGAGACCCGTTAGCAGCAGGTAGAGACCCGTTAGCAGCAGGTAGAGACCCGTTAGCAGGTAGAGACCCGTTAGCAGGTAGAGACCCGTTAGCAGGTAGAGACCCGTTAGCAGCAGGTAGAGACCCGTTAGCAGGTAGAGACCCGTTAGCAGCAGGTAGAGACCCGTTAGCAGCAGGTAGAGACCCGTTAGCAGGTAGAGACCCGTTAGCCGCAGGTAGTGACCCGTTAGCCGCAGGTAGAGACCCGTTAGCCGCGGGTAGAGACCCGTTAGCAGGTAGAGACCCGTTAGCCGCGGGTAGAGACCCGTTAGCAGGTAGAGACCCGTTAGCCGCGGGTAGAGACCCGTTAGCAGGTAGAGACCCGTTAGCCGCGGGTAGAGACCTGTTAGCAGGTAGAGACCCGTTAGCAGGTAGAGACCCGTTAGCAGGTAGAGACCCGTTAGCCGCGGGTAGAGACCCGTTAGCAGGTAGAGACCCGTTAGCAGGTAGAGACCCGTTAGCAGGTAGAGACCCGTTAGCCGCGGGTAGAGACCCGTTAGCAGGTAGAGACCCGTTAGCCGCGGGTAGAGACCCGTTAGCAGGTAGAGACCCGTTAGCCGCGGGTAGAGACCCGTTAGCAGGTAGAGACCCGTTAGCCGCAGTTAGAGAACCGTTAGCTGCAGGTAGAGACCCGTTAGCCGCAGTTAGAGAACCGTTAGCTGCAGGTAGAGACCCGTTAGCCGCAGTTAGAGAACCGTTAGCTGCAGGTAGAGACCCGTTAGCAGGTAGAGACCCGTTAGCCGCAGGTAGAGACCCGTTAGCCGCAGGCAGTGACTCGTTAGCAGGTAGAGACCCGTTAGCAGCAGGTAGAGACCCGTTAGCAGGTAGAGACCCGTTAGCAGCAGGTAGAGACCCGTTAGCAGGTAGAGACCCGTTAGCAGCAGGTAGAGACCCGTTAGCCGCAGGTAGTGACCCGTTAGCCGCAGGTAGAGACCCGTTAGCCGCGGGTAGAGACCCGTTAGCCGCGGGTAGAGACCCGTTAGCAGGTAGAGACCCGTTAGCCGCAGGTAGAGACCCGTTAGCCGCGGGTAGAGACCCGTTAGCCGCGGGTAGAGACCCGTTAGCAGCAGCTAGAGACCCGTTAGCAGGTAGAGACCCGTTAGCAGCAGGTAGAGACCCGTTAGCAGGTAGAGACCCGTTAGCAGCAGGTAGAGACCCGTTAGCAGGTAGAGACCCGTTAGCAGGTAGAGACCCGTTAGCAGCAGGTAGAGACCCGTTAGCAGCAGGTAGAGACCCGTTAGCAGCAGGTAGAGACCCGTTAGCAGGTAGAGACCCGTTAGCCGCAGGTAGTGACCCGTTAGCCGCAGGTAGAGACTCGTTAGCCGCGGGTAGAGACCCGTTAGCCGCGGGTAGAGACCCGTTAGCAGGTAGAGACCGGTTAGCCGCGGGTAGAGACCCGTTAGCAGGTAGAGACCCGTTAGCAGGTAGAGACCCGTTAGCCGCGGGTAGAGACCCGTTAGCAGGTAGAGACCCGTTAGCCGCGGGTAGAGACCTGTTAGCAGGTAGAGACCCGTTAGCAGGTAGAGACCCGTTAGCAGGTAGAGACCCGTTAGCCGCGGGTAGAGACCCGTTAGCAGGTAGAGACCCGTTAGCCGCGGGTAGAGACCCGTTAGCAGGTAGAGACCCGTTAGCCGCGGGTAGAGACCCGTTAGCAGGTAGAGACCTGTCAGATCCATCTGTTAATATTTCCATGTTTCTTCTCGTTGTTTTCCAGCTTTGACGGCTCTAAAACAGCTGAGGCGCGATGGACTAATTTTACGCTGTTAAAAGAAAATCTTTCAGGTAAATCATTAAATTTTCTCAGTTTATTTTTTTTCAGGCAAGCAAAAAAAAAAAACACAAACATTTCCTCCATGTTTCTCTTCCGCTGGTTAAAAACCGTATGCCTGCCCAGATGCATGCCTGTCCTTCCATTGACTGCCTATTTATATAAAATAATTCACCTAAATTAATTAAACCAAAAACAAAGGAACATGACTAAATAACCAAACAACATAATCTCATAACGGATATCAAACAATGAAGTAAAATAAACTTAGCTAGATTATGCAGAAAAACAAAGGAACATTTTTAATTATTAATAAATAAAATAATTGGCTCCTCCTTTTCTCTTTGATGCTTTTGTTGGCGTCACAAATGTTCAGATAATAGTTTCAGCTTGTTAGAAAGACTGAGGGAGAACCTAATTTAGTTTCTTGTTTCCGCCCGGACCGCTATCAGTGTGACGCGCATTGAATCTTTATTTCTTCATGGTGGATATTTGTGTGCGTAATAAATAAAGTAAGATCCTTTTAGATATTACTTTACTCCTTACATGTTCTGCATTAATATAGTTGTAGTGTGAATCAGTAATTTGCGCCATATTTCTCTGTTTCCTGCTGTTCTGGTTAGCTGCTGTGATTGCTAGCTCCGGTTAGCATTTGTTGCTAATAGTAGTTTAGCTAATGCTGCTGCTGCCTAGAGTTGCTGTATTTGAAGCTGCATGGCTTCTGTTATTGCTGCTGATCCAGCAGTGTTTCTATGAGGATTGCTGGGATTTTGGTTAATTGTTATTTCTGTAGCTGTTTGCTGAAATGTTTAGTGAAATCCTAATTTGGCTCATAAACACTTTTATGTTTGTTCCTTTTTGCAGAACCAGTTCTGGTTGGGATCTTCTCAGTACTTAGAGCTGCTCTAATCTGTGTGGTAAAGATCTAACATTCCCTCAACGATCACAGCCTAATGGTTTCCCTTTCATTACATTTTCAGTTCTGACTTTTCATCATTTCATATTTGAACCATCAGCTTTTCTCAACTGATTTTATTCCTATTATAGAAATATTTACATCTGCAGCAGAAACACTAAAGACATCACTGGCTGTCGCTCCTTCTCCTCCTCCTCCTCCTCCTCCTCCTGTCCGTCTCTCATCTTCTTCCTCCTGTTTTGTTGTCAGTCTAGAAGCTGCAGATGCTGCTGAGCTCTGGAAAGAAGTGCAGCAGCTGGAGGCTGAACTGAGGAGCTGGAGGGAAGCAGGAGAACCAGGAGAGGAGGAGACACTGAAAGATGGCGCAGGTTCTACAGCAGCCATCAGGTTTGGATGTTTGCTCCTCCTTCCTCCTTTCTTATTGTAGAGGAGGTGTCAGGGAGCAGCTGAAAGGTCTCTGTGTTCAGTTTAATCAGCTTTAATGATGCTCCTTCTGTGACCAATGGAATATAAACCACTAAAGGTCAGATTAGGATTTATCCTTGATATGTTTGGACAGATGAGGAAAGTTAGCTGAAAATGAATTTAGGGCTAAATGTGGGAATGTTGGCTGAGTTTAAACAGATCGTCTCAATTAGCTTTTAATGATTAATGAACTTTATAACAAACATTAACATTAATAACGTTTCTTTTCCTGCAGGGAAAGTTAGAGACGCTGATTTTAGTTTAATGAGTGAATAAACTCAGGAAATGTGGAAACATTTTATTATAATCAGGTTTGTTTCATTTGAATCTTTGTTAAAGCAGAGGAGAGAACATCTGGAGAGCAGATGTGGAGCAGCAGGAGGAGGAGCCTGATAGCGGGACGCTAACAGCTGCTGCCGCCATCAGTAAGGATTGTTTAACATTTTAAGAAGGTGGGACTTTATCGCCTTTATTATGATTCATTCATTAGAAACATTTTAACGCCCTGAAAAATAAATGTTTTTAATATCTTGTTCTTATAGACGCTAAAAGCAGGAACCTTTGAACTCCCTGTTTCTGGTACGCCTGTATACCCGACGCACAGCGTTAGATCCGCCTCGTTAAAATCCTAATTCTGACTCCCAGAGACCTGATGTGGCAGAAAAGCTTTGATCTGGATCAAATAAAAGGTTTAAAATCTGATTTTAAGCTACAGAGCTGTGCATGATGGCCGCCGATTCATCGCTCTCACAGCATCCATCAATAACGACCTTTATTGGCGAAACTTCCAACAATCCTTTCATTTGTTGTTTAGCCTTAAACACCAGATTGAAAATGTAAAGAGCAGCATAAAGATTCTGCTTTTCATTCTTTCTAACTTAGATCCTTAGAAAGGAGTCGGTATTAGTGAGGAAGCAGCCATGGGAATCTGAAACCTTCATCCTTCCAGAGCTTCAGCCTCTAGAGCTCATCAATCAGACGCTCGTTAATCGGACCCGTTAAAAAAATTCTATCTACAACCGAAAGAAACTTCAGCCGCAGATTCTTCTTCTCTTCCTCTGCATTCCTGAGCGACGACCTGCTGCCATAATAATGATCATTGAAGAAATGATCATATTCATAGATATGCTAATGATTATAAAGTTAATGAATAATATTTTGACTGAAATCCTTTCTTCCGTTTGTGCTTTAGATCCCGGAGCTTTACCTGGTTATGGTTATACTAGAGAATAACTGCTGATCAGTTTTACTAGTTAGTTTAAACGTTGACCAGATGCAGGTTGACTAATAAATTCTTCTGCTCCTTCCTTTAAGCTGCTCAGAGAAAAGCAGTTCTGTGTTCTCATTTCTGCCACCTGCTGGACAGACGGTGTATAGTTTCCTGAATGTGGTTTGCAGGGTGATGAGGAATCACACTTTGTTAGCCACGTAGGAAACATCCTGGATCTTTCAGTTGAAATGAGGATTCTCTTCTTTCTTTATGTGCCTCTGATTTTATACCTGCTCTCCTGTAGAACTGATATTTGTCTTTTTCTTCTTATTTATTGGTCATTTGGTCTTTCTATGATAAATAAACACAAAATGCTTTATTCTCTGGCAGGTAGAGAAAAAAAAAAACAAGGTGTAAAACAGAAAATCAAATAAGCTCAAAGGGAATAATAATCAGAAGATGTTTTAATGTAACCAGATTGATCTACTGACAGAGACACTGTAAGGTTGTTCATAACGGATGTGATGTTTTCACTGCTGCCTGCAGATGTTAAAGAAGAGGCTCCTGATGCCGACCAGCAGGAGCTCCACCGCATCAAGGAGGAACAGCTGAGTGTGAAGGAGGAGGAGGAGACGCATGATAGCAGCTTTCCTTCTGTTCCCGTGAAAACTGAGGAGGAGGAAGAGAAACCTCTGTTCTTTCAGCTTCATCCGCACAAAACTGAAGACGCAGATTTTCCAATCAGAGCTTCGGCCGAACATATAAAGGTAGAAATGAAAGAGGAGGACTCTGGAACAGCGGAGACCAGCAGGAAGACGGATCTAAAGAGTCACGGAGGCTCTGGAGAGCGTGGAGAAGATTCTGAAACCGAGGATAGCGAGGAGGATCGGGAAGAGAGCAGAGTTCCTGAGGCAGACACAAACACTGTCAGCAAATCTGGGAAACAAGATGCTAACAGATCTATTCTGAGTCGTTCTACGCCGAGATCCATGACTTCAGGACGTTCCATCGATGAGAAATGGTTCACAGAGAGGAAAGAAGAAGAATCACTAAAGAAAAATACTAAACAGCTAAACTGTAGTGATGCTAACATGAACACGGGGGAGAAGTTATTCGATTGTACTGTTTGTGAAATTAGATTCACTAGAAAACATTCTTTAGACATGCACATGAGAAACCACACAGGAGAGAAACCCTTCGAATGCGATACTTGTGGAAAAAAGTTTATCACCAATTCAATTTTAAAAAGACACATGAAAGTCCATACTGGAGAGAAACCTTTCAGTTGCGACACTTGTGGTAAAAGTTGTTACTCAAAGTCTGAATTAAACAGACACCAGAAAGTCCACACAGGAGAGAAACCCTTTATTTGTGATAATTGTGGGAAAGGATTCATCACCAAGTCCAATTTAAACAGCCACAGAAAAATCCACACTGAAGAGAAACCCTTTGTCTGTGATTGTTGTGGTAGAGGATGTTCCTCAAAGTCTGAATTAAAAAGACACAAAAGAATCCACTCAAAAGAAAAAGCTTACGGTTGTGATACATGTGGGAAAAGATTTAACTCCAAAGGAAATTTAAATATTCATAAACAAATTCACAGTGGAGTAAAACCCTTTGACTGTGATGTTTGTGGAAAAGGATTTATCACACAGTGTGCTTTAATCAGACACATGAGAACCCATACAGGAGAGAAACCCTTTGTTTGTGATGCCTGTGGAAAGGGATTTACCACCACGTCAAACTTAAACACTCACAAACTAAGGCCCCGTCCACACGAAGTCAAAACGAACACGAAACGCTGATATTTTCCAAAACGTTTGCCGTAAAGACGGAGACGTAAAATAAATGTGAGCGTCCACACGAATGCATGAAAACGCTGCAAAATGTATGCCAGGCCTGTAAGTGGCGCTGTGGTGCCAAAGCAAAAATAAGCGACGAAATGTAGGGCATGCGCACTAATATTTATACATGGTTGCCCTGCGGGTCTATTTTCGTGGTTAAGTCAAATTCAGGTGCTGAACTATGTGGTCGATATTGCTCTGTTCTTCCTGGAGATATTCCAGAAGAAGAAGATTCTGTTGTAAGCCCGACCAGCCCGACAGCAGGGTGAGTAGCATTAGCAGCAACGGCGCCATTGTTGTTGTGATGTGTCGCGCTTGCGTGTTTAGAGGCGACGCTATGACGCATGCGTGTAAAAAAAAAAATGCGGTTAGGGTGTAAACATGGAAACGCGAAAACGGCGTTTCAGAATCTTCCCACTCTGAAGGGTGAATAAAAAAATGATCGTTTACAGACCCCCGAAACGCCGGCTTCGTGTGGATGAGAGGCTGGTTTGGTGAAAAATTTGTGCGTTTAGGCCAGGGTTCGTCTTCGTGTGGACGGGGCCTAAGTCATAATGGAGGAAATGTTTTTGTTTGTGATGCTTGTGGAAAAGCATTTAGCTCCAGTGCATATTTAAAAATGCACAAAAGAATTCACAGTGAAGAAAAACCATTTGTTTGTGATGCTTGCGGAAAAGGATTTACCTTCGATTCATATTTAAAGACACACAAAATAATTCACCACGGAGAAAACCCGCTTCGTTGTGATATTTGTGGGAAAAGATGCGCATCAACGTCATATTTTAACAGACACATGGAAATTCATTATTCTGCTGAGAAACTTGGAGGAAAAAAAGTTACCCTTAGTTGACATATTAGCAACACGTTAAAATCCACAGAGAAGAAGAACTTCTGGCCGGTTTGTAAAGTATTTCCACCCTGAGGCTGTAGAGCAGCGGCTTCAGACCCAGAGCCTTGGTGTCCTGAAACGTTCACGCTTCCTGCAGAGCTTCAGGCGGCCAGGATGAGATAAACAGCTTCACCCGGTCTGACTGCCCCCACACCGGCCCCCTCCCTGCCCTCACCTCTTCACTGAGGGGGGGCGATCTCCACCCTGTGTAAGACCTCCTGTGTGGCACCGGTTCCCCAAAATTACTATTTATTATTAATATCTTTTATGTTCCAGATTCTCCTGTTCTTCCCTCCATCTCCAACCTTCTAACTATTTATTCCTAATTAACTTCTTTGAGGCCCAAAAACTTTTCCTTGATCCTGATTTTCTCTGCCTTCTGATTGGCTCTGATCGGCTCTGATTGGCTCTGATTGGCTCTGATTGGCTCTGATTGGCTCTGATTGGCTCTGATCGGCTCTGATTGGCTCTGATTGGCTCTGATTGGCTCTGATCGGCTCTGATTGGCTCTGATTGGCTCTGATCGGCTCTGATTGGCTCTAATCGGCTCTGATTGGCTCTGATTGGCTCTGATCGGCTCTGATTGGCTCTGATTGGCTCTGATTGACTCTAATCGGCTCTGATCGGCTCTGATCGGCTCTGAGCCGTTAATGACGGACGCTATGAATAAAATGAGTCTCTACTGTTATTTGCGTCTCCTGTTCACCGCCTCATCCCAGCAAAGGCGCATCAGCCATAAGGTTCCGCTTTAAAAACACTCCTTTAAGCGTCGGCTTAGCGCCTACAATAAATGCTATTTTTATTTATTTTTCTGTCAACCTTCCTTCAATAAAACTCTTTCTTCATCTAAACTGCATTCTGCTAATTCCCCTTTATTCCCTTAATTCTCTAACCACCTTTCTCCTCCTTTTAACTCCTCTATCTCTCCTTTCCCATCTCACCTCCACCAACCTGCAGCGTTTATTTATTTTTAAACCAACTCTGGGCTCCTCAGAGCGACCAGCCTCCACCTTCCCAGATCACTTTCGGATCCATAAACACTGACGGCTGTTTCCTAGCAACAGATTTAGGAAGAGTTTGATTTATCAGTTAACTTTGAAGCTGCTGCTGCTCCTGTGATTGGCTAAAAAACTCACCATGGAGGCAGGTAGCCAATCAGCTGGAAGAATTGCTCTGGATCTCTTTTCTCTTATTTGTTCAAGATGTAAACAATAAAGAAGCGATGTTTTATAGGATACTGAAGGTATTTAATCCATAAGATTGTTTTTTATTGTTATTTTATTAATGATTTGTTGTTTTATTGTTGGTCTGCTCTATGTTTTATAAAATAAAGTGAATATTGGGTCATTAGCTAGAGATCCATTAAGATCTTCCATCGCTTTAAGGTCAATATTCATTATTTCCCATCAATCTGTTGGTTTTAATGGAGAGAAGGTTTGTCGCCACCTGCTGGTGACATCCTGCAAATAAAAACTCATCTGTTTAAAACTCTTTACTCTTTAATAATTTCCCAGCCTTTTTATTTTTTATGGTTTTATTTTGTTTTTTGACTTTGCTTCTGCTTTTGTGTTTTTATCTTTGGTACGGTGGCCTGGAGGGTCCAGATAGGTGCCTTTAAAATAAAATGTATTATTATTAAATCTGTAATGAGAGAAGCTTCAAATGAGAAACTCTTGAATTAGTCACGTTTTTATTTGGATTTAATAAAAAATCTTTTTTAGAAACAATAGAAATTAAAAAAAAATTCATCCTTCATTTGCTTAAAAATCGGAATGTTTAGTTTTCCTGTTTTTAGACCAAAAGCTGAAGATGCTGCTGAGTTCTGGAAAGAAGCTTTAATTCTGAGATTAAAGTCAAAAATGTGACTTTGTTCCCATATTAAACTGAAATTAAATAAAAAAAATCTGTTAATTTTTAAATTTTTCTAGTGACTCTAATCCTCTTCTGGCGACTGTTCACTGGAAATTATGCTTATTTATTTTTTATTATAAAGAATTTTCTAATAAAGTGTATAAAAATAAAAACTCTGTCGGTTTATTTATTTTTTTATTGTAAAGAATTTTCTACTAAAGTGTATAAAAATAAAAACTGTCGGTTTTTTATTTTTTATTTTAACTGGGTCCGTCTTGATGAGTCACGTCCCGTGCTGATGACGCAATCAGCGTGCGCCGCGGTGCGGGCCGGTGATCAGCGTGTCCAGCTGCTGCTAATAAACCGGCCGATGGTGAAACATGTCGGTGTTTCATGATGAGGTGGAGATTGAAGACTTTGAGTTCGATGAGGAAACGGAGGCTTTCTACTTCCCGTGTCCCTGCGGGGACCGTTTCTGCATCACTAAGGTGGGACCCGCCGAACCGCGGCTGAATTCTGCTGGATTCCTGTTAAACCTTCCTGTAGGAACCAGAAACTGATCCACTGACAGATTAATGTTATTTTATTAATGTCGCAGATGTTCGGCTGATTTCGGCTCGGTCTGTTTAATTATTTAAGCTCATATTTAGAAGTTCTGTACCTCCATCCTGCTGCTTGTGTAATCCTTTATTAGCCTCATTTAAGTTTCATATTTTGGTTTAACTACTTTCTTTTTTTACTACCTTTAACTTTTCTGTTTGTCCCATCAGGTGTAAATGAACTAATATTTCTCTTAAATGTAAACAGGAAGTAGTGTTTTTCTGGGCTTTTATACTGAAGGGTCATTCCTTTCAGAATAAATCAGTTATTATTTATAAAACATTTTAATCCCAGTTTGTGTTTTCAGGAAGACCTGGAGAACGGAGAGGAGGTGGCCACCTGCCCCAGCTGCTCGCTCATCGTTAAAGTCATCTATGATAAGGTCAGTCTGCAAGGGGCGGGGCTAGATGAGGGCCATGGCCACCCTCAGCCAATCATTGGCCACCCCCTACCATTATTTCCCCTCTAAAGGCCTGGTTCTCCTCCTGCAGCAGTAAGATTGATGCAGACGTTTTTGATTTATGCTCATTATTACAGCGTGGTCTGTTCTATATGCTGTGGATCTAGATACGGCCGAGGCGGGGAGGAAGTGGGGGCGAGTTTAGTCTGATGATGGAGGAACATGAGGGCCAAAAATAGCGGGGATCCAGGTGGAGAAAGGCTCTCGCTCAGCTAGCTGGTCAAACGAGTTCATGGTCACGAGTCGTTTTCCGCATTTTTGGTCATAAAAACAAAACGAGCCGGCCTCCTGTCTGCGCAGCGTCTGCAGGGAGGGGGTGGCTTTTTGTTCACTGCGACGCATACGCAGACGACCTGGTTTCACAGTATAAATCAGCCTTAAGTCAGACGGTGGCAGCACTATGGAAGAGGATTAGGGCCACACAAAAAAAATAAGTTAACCGATTTTTACAAATTTTTTATCTCAGTATTATATGAGGAAAAATAGCAGATTTCTGACTTTTTCTCAGAATTCCGACTGAATTCTGACAGCTAACAAACATGTTAGCATCCAGCCGTAGCCATGTCTGTTTTAGAGACTAGCTCTCTTGTTTTAATCACCTTCTGCTCTTCCATTAATCAAACAGCATCAGCAGGGACCCTCAGGGACGGAGAAAGTTGCATAATTGGGTCATTTTCCACCAATGTGTTCCTGTTTCTCCCAAACAACTGAAGCTGAGTTCTCCACATCTCTGCCTTCATGGAGACCATCTACATTAAGATCCACAATTCTGAGATTAAAGTCTGAATTCTGAGATTAAAGTCTGAATTCTGACTTTTTTCTCACATACCGAATTAAACTTTAAAAATCATTTCATCTTTTTTTTTTTTTTTTTAGTGGCCTTAATCGTCTTCCGTACGGTAATGATACTATAAAGTGAAATAATCAAAACATTAAAATTTTTCATATCTCTTAAAGTTCCTTGATTTCCACCGACCGACCGACCGACCGACCGATACGGAGGACCAATCCTGCCTTAATTCTAAATACATTCAGAAATAAATGACTTAATAATATAAAATTGCTTGAAAAAGTAACTAATTATATGAACTTTTGTGCCATTAAATATAAGAAAAAAATAATTTATGTTTTTGTCAATTGATCAATTATTAATCTAAAAATATAGATTTTAACTTCCAGTTTAGTTTTTTATTCTCTTCTTGCCTTTATGCTGATTGGTTATTAACTCATTTATTCTGTTTAACATTTCTTTAATTCGTTATTTTGTCTTTGTGTTTATTGAAAGTGTTTCTTTGTTCCGTATTTCCACTTTTTATTATTTCACATTTATTCACAAAAACATTTTTAAATCTGTTTTTAGATGAATAATTGATAAATTGATGAAGAAATATCATATTTTTATGATTTTTTCACATTTAATGGCACACACAATCCTATTATTTTATATTAAATCATTTATTTCATCCATTAAGCTCGGCGCGCTCGCTGTCATTGGAAGGAGGAGCTTTCTGTAGATATGCAGACATAGAATGACTCGTATCAACATGAGCTGAAGGTTCAAAATGCCGACCCTGGGTCGCAGGCGGGACCTGGGAACAATTTAAACTTTAAAATGGAAAAACTTTCTATTTTTATTTTATTTTTATATAAAAATCCACTTTATAACATGGATGCATAGAAATGTAACTTATTTCAGGGTTAAATTCTGTTTAAAGTAACAGATTCGAATTAAAAATGGACCTTTACTGGTTGATTTCCTTTATTGGGACCAGCTGATCTATACCTTTTATCTAGATGTTTAAATATACGGCTCTATTTCTTAGCAGATCTGTAGGAACGTTTATTCTGTCTTTAATTAGAAAATATGGATGTTTTGCTCATTGATTGTGAGGTCAGCCTGGATCCACCCCGAGCTAGAAACGTTTTCTGGCTCCGCCTCTGCTGACATCATCAATAGATCTGGATTTATAGATGGCGTTAGATAATGACGTGCCTTGAGATGAGATTCTGTTTATAAAAGTTCTAGAATCTTCTGTGATCTTTGAGGAAAGTTCTGATGAAACGAACGTCTTCCTGAAACCTGCAGGAGCTTTTCATGGCGGGCGAAACCATCGAGGCTCCATCTGAACCCAAACTGCAGCGCGTCCAGTCCTGAACCCGGGTCGCTTCCATCGGCGGCGCCGACGCCAGGCTGCGGCGGTTCTCCTCTCAGAGGAGCAGCAGGAGGAGCAGCAGGAGGAGCAGCTGCAGCACCTGAAGGAGGAACACAGGATTACCCACAACAGAACTTTGATCTGAGCTTTTAGAGACTGGGAGCCGATCTTTGGATAATTTCACCGCTGTGATGCTTTTTAGATAATAAATATCATTATTGTTCATTTTTAACATTTTATCAGCTTCTTTTTCCACTTTTAGTTCAGCTAATAAATCAGATTTCTTCATATTCAGAAACTTTTTCCCATCATTACACAAAATAACAGCTTTTTAAAGGTTAATATCTTTGAACTTAAGAAATTCAGGTCATAATAAGAGCCTATATTTTTATACTTGTTTGTTATTTATTGTGATAAAACATAGAAACATCCTGTGAGTCGATCCTGACGCCTTCCTAACCGCCTGGAAGCATCGCAGCGTTTTCTTCCACATGGATTCAAACTTTATCTGGAATATTTTGACTTTATTCTACAAAACAGTTAATTTTTATTCTGTTATGATGGAAAATAAGTTACAAAAAATAATAAAGTGACCCTAATTCTGTCCCATTGTGGGAAAATAAAGGGATTTTCTATTCTGTTCTGTTCTTTGCTCCCCTTCCTGTTACAGGTGATTTGTCTCCCTCTTTTGGTGAAAGAAAGAACTGCAGCATCAATTTTTAAAACAAATTTCCCATTTTAACAAACCTTTAGAAACTATTTGGTTTGTCGTGGGAATAAAATCACCACTCAGACATTTTCTGGTGAAACAAAGTGAGTAAAAACATTTTTCACTGGATAAATCGCATCACTAAATATACGAGAGAGAAATCTAAATTTTCCAACTAACCAGCTACTATAATGAGCTCCACATGACCTCCCTACTGATACTGTGAAACACCCTCATCTAAAGCTAAATTAGGTTAATAACTGACCAAAAATCTATTCTAAATAACAAACTCAATTCTAAGATTTAACTGAAAATGGCTCCTATATATGTGGCGCCGTTTGTAAAGTTAATCAGACAGAAATATTTATGGTTATTTAGCGAGTTTAAAGCAAAAAATTTCATTTTTTCACTATGTCATTCATTCATTTATAAAAACCTTGTTAAATATTTAGTTTGCAAACTAAACATATACCGTATTTTCACGACCATAAGGCGCACCGTACTAAAAGGCGCAGTCTCAGTTATGTGTCCCATTTCTGTATTTAACACACACATAAGGCGCACCGGACTATAGGGCGCGTTTTTTATATACAGGTACATGTCCTCTACTACCTTTAAATACCTCTACTGCGTATTTAAAAATACAGCGGGAGCAAAACTGAGTATGACTGTGCTTTATTCATGTATTTATTACAAAGTATTAATCAAACCTGGCAGCTGGCCGTGAGACAGACACATCGCAGATGACAGACTGCTGTGATCACTCCTATATTAACTTAAAATCCTGAAACCCGCCGACAGAATATGTTTGCTTTTATTGCCGGTATCCTGGTGCCTGCAGTTTAAATTATTTAGATGAAAAACACCTGCCAGCCGCCGCGGTGAAGAGGAGGAGACGCGCCCAGAGGCTGCTGTTGAATTAAGTTTTCAGGTAGAAAAATAGAGCGGGAGCAAAACTGAGTATGATTGTGCTTTATTCATGTATTTATTACAAAGTATTAATCAAACCTATCAAAGTCATCATCCTCTGTTTCTGAATTAAACAGCTGCGCTAAATCAGACATGCCAGTTTCCCCTTCTTCGCTGTCAGTCACTTTCCGTGCAGCGTGGCTCCTCAGAAATAATGCCGGCTTTTGTGAAAGCTCGAACAACAGAGCCAGCAGACACGTTAGTCCAAGCATCTACAATCCATCCGCTAACGGTGGCGTAACTTGCCCGGCGCTGCCTTCCACTTATCCTGAAACTGTGGTCTCCGTCTGTCATCCATCGCTCCCACGCCGCTCGCAGCCTTACTTTGAACGGCCGCTTCACACCGATGTCGAGCGGTTGAAGTTCCTTAGTCAGACCCCCCGGGATAACGGCGAGCACAGCGTTCATTGATTCACCTTTTTTTTCACATCGGCTGTGAGATGGGCACGCAGCGATGGTGATGGGTGGAAAAAAACACCTGTTCTCCTCACATAGGCTACACCTCCCTCAGCCACGCTTTCATCATCTCCTCTTTCATCAGAGCGCTCTGTCTGTCTCGCTGTCAGCTCCCAGATCAGCTTCTCTGATTGGTTGATGCGGCGCGCCCAGCAGCAAAGCTTAAAATTTTCCATCTGGAGCAGCAGCAGTGCGTTGGCGGTGCATCAGATGCTTAAAGGATCCCGACGTGCTGCACCTGCGGCTCAAAACGTGCTGCGGGACCTTTTGCTGCACCTATCCGCGCGTCAACCATTGACTTTGCATGTAAACTCGCTGCTTCTGCTGCACCTGCTGGGTCCGGTTCACACCGATGTCGAGTGGTTGAACAGCGAGCACAGCGTTAATTTGTTTCCCCATGTTTTTCACATCAGCTGTGAGATGGGCACGCATGGAGTTACAGATTAATGGTGATGAGTGGGAAAAAAAACACCTGGTCTCCTGACATTCAGCCACTCTTTCATCATCTCCTCAATGAGGTGGTCTCAAAAGTCGCAGTTACAACACACATAGGGCGCACCGCACCATAGGGCGCACCGCACATTTTGAGGGAAAAAAAAGACGTTTAAGTGCACCTTATAGTCGTGAAAATACGGGTATATGCCACACACACATATATATAAATAGAGACAGAGATGTGCGTCAAAATATTTTTCTGTATATAGTAATAAAAGTATCTTGTCTGAGTGGCTGCGCTTTGCAACATGCATCCATCCTATTAGAATATTCTATTCCTATTAATCCCACTAAGAATATTATAAATACTTTGCTTTCAGCTAAAATAAAGCCCTATAAATTAGTTCAATATTCAGAAAGTTAAAGTTGATTAAAATTGATTTTGTTCCTGCTAAAACATTATGCTGACCTCCCCAAGATGGCGCCAACAAATCACGTCAGCATCATCAAAGATTTTGCAGGTTTGCCCACTTCCAAAGAATGCAACCATCTATAATTTTAATCATCTGTACATTCTAACAGTGAGAGACAGAATCCCAAAGAAAATTCTAGAAATTCTCATCATATGAATTTATTAAAACTGAAACCATCTGATGAGGAAAAACAAGTATTTGACCCCCTACCAAACAGCAAGCATTCTGGCTCCTACCAACCAGTTAGTCTTTCTTTCAGACACAGCCCCAATCCCAACCAATTATCTACATCAAATACACCTGCCTCACCTCGTTACCTGTATAAAAGACACCTGTTAACACCCATCATCCAACATCACCACCATGGGCGAGACCAAAGAGCTTTCTACGGACATCAGGGACAACATGTTGATCTGCACCAGGCTGGGATGGGCTACAAGAGAATCGGAAACAACTTGGAGAGAAAAGATCAACTGGTGCAGTTATCAGGAAATGGAAGAAGCAACCTCCCTCGGTCTGGGCCTCCACACAGGATCTGGCCTGGTGGGGTGTCCCTGATCATGCCAATGAGAGGGATCATCCCAAAACCATAAGGGGGGACCTGATGAATCAACTGAAGGCAGCTGGGACCACAGTTACAAAGAAACGGTTGGTAACACACTACGCCGTCATGGATTGAAATCCTGCAGCACGCAACGTCCCCCTGCTCAAGAAGAAACATGTACAGGCCCGCATGAAGGTCGCCATTCACCACCTGGACGACTCAGAAGAGGCCTGGAAGAAGGTGATGCGGTCAGATCAGACCAAAATCTCAACTCGTCGTGTTTGGAGGGCAAAGAACAGCAAGTACGACCCAAAGAACACCATCCCCACCGTCAAGCATGGTGGTGGCAACATCATGCTTTGGGGGTGCTTTTCAGCCAAGGGGACGGGACAACTCCATGGTATTGAGGGGAGGATGGACGGGGCCATGTATGGTGGAATTCTGGACCAACATCTCCTTCCCTCAGTGAGAGAGCTGAAGATGGGTGGAGGATGGGTGTTTCAGTACCACAACCACCCGAAGCACATCGCCATGGCAACAACAGAGTGGCTGAAGAAGAAGCACATCAAGGTTCTGGAGTGGCCTAGCCAGTCTCCACACCTGAATCCAGTTAAAAGTCTTTGGAGGGAGCTTAAAATTCCAGTTGTCAGGCAACAACCTGGGAACCAGAATGATTTGGAGGCTGTCTGCAGGGAGGAGTGGGCCAATATTCCTGCTGAAATGTGGAGGCTGTCTGCAGGGTGGAGTGGGCCAATATTCCTGCTGAAATGTGGAGGCTGTCTGCAGGGAGGAGTGGGCCAATATCCCTGCTGAAATGTGGAGGCTGTCTGCAGGGTGGAGTGGGCCAATATCCCTGCCGAAATGTGGAGGCTGTCTGCAGGGAGGAGTGGGCCAATATTCCTGCTGAAATGTGGAGGCTGTCTGCAGGGAGGAGTGGGCCAATATCCCTGCTGAAATGTGGAGGCTGTCTGCAGGGAGGAGTGGGCCAATATCCCTGCCGAAATGTGGAGGCTGTCTGCAGGGAGGAGTAGGCCAATATCCCTGCCGAAATGTGGAGGCTGTCTGCAGGGAGGAGTGGGCCAATATCCCTGCCGAAATGTGGAGGCTGTCTGCAGGGTGGAGTGGGCCAATATCCCTGCTGAAATGTGGAGGCTGTCTGCAGGGAGGAGTGGGCCAATATCCCTGCTGAAATGTGGAGGCTGTCTGCAGGGTGGAGTGGGCCAATATCCCTGCTGAAATGTGGAGGCTGTCTGCAGGGTGGAGTGGGCCAATATCCCTGCCGAAATGTGGAGGCTGTCTGCAGGGAGGAGTGGGCCAATATCCCTGCTGAAATGTGGAGGCTGTCTGCAGGGAGGAGTGGGCCAATATTCCTGCTGAAATGTGGAGGCTGTCTGCAGGGAGGAGTGGGCCAATATCCCTGCCGAAATGTGGAGGCTGTCTGCAGGGAGGAGTGGGCCAATATCCCTGCCGAAATGTGGAGGCTGTCTGCAGGGTGGAGTGGGCCAATATCCCTGCTGAAATGTGGAGGCTGTCTGCAGGGAGGAGTGGGCCAATATCCCTGCTGAAATGTGGAGGCTGTCTGCAGGGTGGAGTGGGCCAATATCCCTGCTGAAATGTGGAGGCTGTCTGCAGGGTGGAGTGGGCCAATATCCCTGCTGAAATTTGGAGGCTGTCTGCAGGGTGGAGTGGGCCAATATTCCTGCTGAAATGTGGAGGCTGTCTGCAGGGAGGAGTGGGCCAATATTCCTGCCGAAATGTGGAGGCTGTCTGCAGGGTGGAGTGGGCCAATATTCCTGCTGAAAATGTGGAGGCTGTCTGCATGGAGGAGTGGGCCAATATTCCTGCTGAAATGTGGAGGCTGTCTGCAGGGAGGAGTGGGCCAATATTCCTGCTGAAATGTGGAGGCTGTCTGCAGGGAGGAGTGGGCCAATATTCCTGCTGAAATGTGGAGGCTGTCTGCAGGGAGGAGTGGGCCAATATCCCTGCTGAAATGTGGAGGCTGTCTGCAGGGTGGAGTGGGCCAATATTCCTGCTGAAATGTGGAGGCTGTCTGCAGGGAGGAGTGGGCCAATATCCCTGCTGAAATGTGGAGGCTGTCTGCAGGGTGGAGTGGGCCAATATTCCTGCTGAAATGTGGAGGCTGTCTGCAGGGAGGAGTGGGCCAATATCCCTGCTGAAATGTGGAGGCTGTCTGCTGGGTGGAGTGGGCCAATATCCCTGCTGAAATGTGGAGGCTGTCTGCAGGGTGGAGTGGGCCAATATCCCTGCTGAAATGTGGAGGCTGTCTGCTGGGTGGAGTGGGCCAATATCCCTGCTGAAATGTGGAGGCTGTCTGCTGGGTGGAGTGGGCCAATATTCCTGCTGAAATGTGGAGGCTGTCTGCAGGGAGGAGTGGGCCAATATTCCTGCTGAAATGTGGAGGCTGTCTGCAGGGTGGAGTGGGCCAATATCCCTGCTGAAATGTGGAGGCTGTCTGCTGGGTGGAGTGGGCCAATATTCCTGCTGAAATGTGGAGGCTGTCTGCAGGGAGGAGTGGGCCAATATTCCTGCTGAAATGTGGAGGCTGTCTGCAGGGTGGAGTGGGCCAATATCCCTGCTGAAATGTGGAGGCTGTCTGCAGGGAGGAGTGGGCCAATATTCCTGCTGAAATGTGGAGGCTGTCTGCAGGGAGGAGTGGGCCAATATTCCTGCTGAAATGTGGAGGCTGTCTGCAGGGAGGAGTGGGCCAATATTCCTGCTGAAATGTGGAGGCTGTCTGCAGGGAGGAGTGGGCCAATATTCCTGCTGAAATGTGGAGGCTGTCTGCAGGGTGGAGTGGGCCAATATCCCTGCTGAAATGTGGAGGCTGTCTGCTGGGTGGAGTGGGCCAATATTCCTGCTGAAATGTGGAGGCTGTCTGCAGGGTGGAGTGGGCCAATATTCCTGCTGAAATGTGGAGGCTGTCTGCAGGGTGGAGTGGGCCAATATCCCTGCTGAAATGTGGAGGCTGTCTGCAGGGAGGAGTGGGCCAATATTCCTGCTGAAATGTGGAGGCTGTCTGCAGGGAGGAGTGGGCCAATATTCCTGCTGAAATGTGGAGGCTGTCTGCAGGGAGGAGTGGGCCAATATTCCTGCTGAAATGTGGAGGCTGTCTGCAGGGTGGAGTGGGCCAATATTCCTGCTGAAATGTGGAGGCTGTCTGCAGGGTGGAGTGGGCCAATATCCCTGCTGAAATGTGGAGGCTGTCTGCAGGGTGGAGTGGGCCAATATTCCTGCTGAAATGTGGAGGCTGTCTGCAGGGAGGAGTGGGCCAATATTCCTGCTGAAATGTGGAGGCTGTCTGCAGGGTGGAGTGGGCCAATATTCCTGCTGAAATGTGGAGGCTGTCTGCAGGGAGGAGTGGGCCAATATTCCTGCTGAAATGTGGAGGCTGTCTGCATGGAGGAGTGGGCCAATATTCCTGCTGAAATGTGGAGGCTGTCTGCAGGGAGGAGTGGGCCAATATTCCTGCTGAAATGTGGAGGCTGTCTGCAGGGTGGAGTGGGCCAATATTCCTGCTGAAATGTGGAGGCTGTCTGCAGGGTGGAGTGGGCCAATATCCCTGCTGAAATGTGGAGGCTGTCTGCAGGGAGGAGTGGGCCAATATCCCTGCTGAAATGTGGAGGCTGTCTGCAGGGAGGAGTGGGCCAATATCCCTGCTGAAATGTGGAGGCTGTCTGCAGGGAGGAGTGGGCCAATATCCCTGCTGAAATGTGGAGGCTGTCTGCAGGGAGGAGTGGGCCAATATCCCTGCTGAAATGTGGAGGCTGTCTGCAGGGTGGAGTGGGCCAATATTCCTGCTGAAATGTGGAGGCTGTCTGCAGGGAGGAGTGGGCCAATATTCCTGCTGAAATGTGGAGGCTGTCTGCAGGGTGGAGTGGGCCAATATTCCTGCTGAAATGTGGAGGCTGTCTGCAGGGTGGAGTGGGCCAATATCCCTGCTGAAATGTGGAGGCTGTCTGCTGGGTGGAGTGGGCCAATATTCCTGCTGAAATGTGGAGGCTGTCTGCAGGGTGGAGTGGGCCAATATTCCTGCTGAAATGTGGAGGCTGTCTGCAGGGTGGAGTGGGCCAATATCCCTGCTGAAATGTGGAGGCTGTCTGCAGGGAGGAGTGGGCCAATATTCCTGCTGAAATGTGGAGGCTGTCTGCAGGGAGGAGTGGGCCAATATTCCTGCTGAAATGTGGAGGCTGTCTGCAGGGAGGAGTGGGCCAATATTCCTGCTGAAATGTGGAGGCTGTCTGCAGGGAGGAGTGGGCCAATATTCCTGCTGAAATGTGGAGGCTGTCTGCAGGGTGGAGTGGGCCAATATTCCTGCTGAAATGTGGAGGCTGTCTGCAGGGTGGAGTGGGCCAATATCCCTGCTGAAATGTGGAGGCTGTCTGCAGGGTGGAGTGGGCCAATATTCCTGCTGAAATGTGGAGGCTGTCTGCAGGGTGGAGTGGGCCAATATCCCTGCTGAAATGTGGAGGCTGTCTGCAGGGTGGAGTGGGCCAATATTCCTGCTGAAATGTGGAGGCTGTCTGCAGGGTGGAGTGGGCCAATATTCCTGCTGAAATGTGGAGGCTGTCTGCAGGGTGGAGTGGGCCAATATCCCTGCTGAAATGTGGAGGCTGTCTGCAGGGTGGAGTGGGCCAATATTCCTGCTGAAATGTGGAGGCTGTCTGCAGGGAGGAGTGGGCCAATATTCCTGCTGAAATGTGGAGGCTGTCTGCAGGGTGGAGTGGGCCAATATCCCTGCTGAAATGTGGAGGCTGTCTGCAGGGAGGAGTGGGCCAATATTCCTGCTGAAATGTGGAGGCTGTCTGCAGGGAGGAGTGGGCCAATATCCCTGCTGAAATGTGGAGGCTGTCTGCAGGGAGGAGTGGGCCAATATTCCTGCTGAAATGTGGAGGCTGTCTGCAGGGTGGAGTGGGCCAATATCCCTGCTGAAATGTGGAGGCTGTCTGCAGGGTGGAGTGGGCCAATATTCCTGCTGAAATGTGGAGGCTGTCTGCAGGGAGGAGTGGGCCAATATTCCTGCTGAAATGTGGAGGCTGTCTGCAGGGTGGAGTGGGCCAATATCCCTGCTGAAATGTGGAGGCTGTCTGCAGGGAGGAGTGGGCCAATATTCCTGCTGAAATGTGGAGGCTGTCTGCAGGGTGGAGTGGGCCAATATTCCTGCTGAAATGTGGAGGCTGTCTGCAGGGAGGAGTGGGCCAATATTCCTGCTGAAATGTGGAGGCTGTCTGCAGGGTGGAGTGGGCCAATATCCCTGCTGAAATGTGGAGGCTGTCTGCAGGGAGGAGTGGGCCAATATCCCTGCTGAAATGTGGAGGCTGTCTGCAGGGAGGAGTGGGCCAATATCCCTGCTGAAATGTGGAGGCTGTCTGCAGGGAGGAGTGGGCCAATATTCCTGCTGAAATGTGGAGGCTGTCTGCAGGGAGGAGTGGGCCAATATTCCTGCTGAAATGTGGAGGCTGTCTGCAGGGAGGAGTGGGCCAATATTCCTGCTGAAATGTGGAGGCTGTCTGCAGGGTGGAGTGGGCCAATATTCCTTTTTCAGCCTGAGCCATTGTAACCTCTCAGACAGAAGCTGTGAGACACTGTCATCGGTTCTTGGCTCCTACTCATCAAGCTTGACAGAGCTCAACCTGAGTAACAACAACTTGAAGGACTCTGGAGTTTTCCTCCTATGTTCTGGACTGGAGAGTCAAGATTGTGCCCTGGAAATTCTGAGGTAAGACATCCAGTGTTTTTATGTTGAAGTTTATCACAGCTGTAAGGTAGTGCCATTTAAGGATCCAAACCTTTTTATATTCAAGGAAAGTTAATCTGTGCCAGTCTGCACCCAGTTTGAACCCAGTCTGTGTCACTGACTACCCCTAAGGACGATGGTTTCGGAGGAACTGATCCTCATTTCGGGCGCTTCACACTCGGCTGCGAACCACTCCAGTGAGAGCTGTAGATCATGCCCTGATGAAGAACCTCTAGAACCTCAAAAGATTTCTATACTATAATAGAATTTCCCTTTAGGCTCCATAAAGTATTGATTGAAATATATCAGGTTTGTTTCCCATTAATGGAGATCAGGTTCTGCCTCAAAATAAACATGCTGCTTCTGGTAGTAAATATTTTCTTCTTCTCTTCACTCCAGGCCAATTAAATAAAGAAGTAGAATTATTTGGGAGCATAAATGAATTACTTTAATGAATTTCTTGTCAAACCAGGCTGAGCTCTTGTAACCTGTCGGGAACCAGCTGCAAACATCTGTCCTCGGTGCTACGGTCCCAGTCCTCTCGTCTGACTGACTTGGACCTCACTAACAATGACCTCAGCGACTCGGGGGTGAACCTCCTGTCTGCAGGCCTGGCAAGTCCACACTGCAAACTGCAGACTCTGAGGTCAGGAGGTTAATTCATCCGGTTTTCTTCTCCTGAATCTGTTTCTATGCTTCATTTCTGGGATGTTTCTGTAAGTCTATTAATAGTGAATCATTTTGCAGCCTGTCAGGCTGTCTGATCACAGAGGAAGGTTGTGCTTTTCTGGCCACTGCTTTGAGCTCCAACCCGTCTCATTTGAGGGACCTGGACCTGAGCTACAACCATCCAGGAGAAGATGGAGAGAAATTGATGACGGCTCGATTAGAAGATGGCCGTTCCAGACTGGAGACTCTCAGGTGCAGAAATAGCTGCAGTGAAAATCGGTTTAGTCTTTTCTTGAGTTGTTGTGTTTTAAGCCTTACGATGGTTAAACTGATATTTCATCACCTCATAAATCTCAGTTTAACTGGTTGTGAACCAAAAAAAAAAAAAAGCGTTTCTATTAGATTTAGTGTGAAAGCTTTATTACCTCTGATGTTCTCAGGATGGAGCCTGCTGGAGTCCAATACTTGAAACCAGGTTTAAGGAAGTGTAAGTATTTGTTTTTATTTAGTATTAATAAGGCTAAAGGATCAAAGCTCAGCTCCTGCTTCTTTCATCAGATTCCTGTCGGCTTGTTTTTGACCGGAACACGATAACAGGAAGGTGACGCATGAGGAGGAGGACCAGCTCTACTCGGATCATCCGGACAGGTTCGACTGGTGCCGCCAGCTGCTGTGCAGAGACGCTCTGTTTGGCCGCTGCTACTGGGAGGTGGAGCGGAAAGGAAGAGTTCATGTTTCAGTGACTTACAGAGGAATCGGCAGGAAGGGAGACAGCGACCTCTGTGAGTTGGGATACAATGAAAAGTCCTGGAGTCTCTTCTGCTCTGACGGCATTTACTCCGTCTATCACAACAACAAAGGAACATCGGTTAGTCTCAACTCCATCTCCTCCTCCTCCTCCTCCTCGGTCACCAGCAGAGTGGCCGTCTATCTGGACCATCCTGCTGGCCTGCTGTCCTTCTACAGAGTCTCCTCAGACTCGTTGATCCACATCCACACCTTCAGCACCAGCTTCTCTGAACCTCTGCATCCTGGGTTTGGAGTCGGCTTCAGGCCGGGTTCCTCCGTGTCTCTCTGTTTGGTTTAGACCCGGAGAGACGCGTTCCATCAGTCCTGCTGAAAAGCCTTCATGCTTTTAGCATCATCATCATCAGTTTGATCCAAACGTCTTGCTTTATCGTCTTTGCTGTTACAACATTCAGGTTTTCTGAAACAGTTTTTTTCTCCATAGATTGAAATTAGGAGCTTTTTAATAAATATATTATAAATATATTATTGTTTTAAAGGTTTTAAGGTTTTAAATTTAATTAGTTTGGTTCCTGACTGACCTTTTTTTATCTTAATGACCTTTGATTGATGATTGTGTTTAATTCTCGTTATTCAGCATTAATGTGTTTATCTGTTTATGAATCCTCTGTTCAGGAAAGTTTATTTAAAAACCTGCTGGTTTAAGGTTTAATCAGCCTTTCAAGTAATCAGGATGTCAATTAATCAGTCAAACAGTTTTCTGATGCTTCACAGGTTTAAGGTTCAAACTTTTATCCCAGAAGGTTAAAGGATGAATCTGAGTTTTTACTTCGGTTTCTTTTTGGTTCCATTGACAAATAAACACGTTTTAATTAAAAATAAAATGTTTGTTCACATTGTTTGAATAATTTAAAGGACATAATATTAAAATCTAATCATAATATATAAAAAAATAGGAATTAAAAATAAAACTATGAGATTTATAGTCCCCACAGTGCAGATATAGAATCTGTCCTTAAAGTACAACCAAAGCCATTTACACAGATAAAAAAGTTAAGAGGAAGATGTTTCATTCTGAAGAGATGCTGGTTTAGAGTTCAAAGGATCCTGAGTTCAACTCTGAAATCCCAGAGAATTAAATAATAGAATCCCTATAAAGGTTAAGTCCGTTTATTGGCTTTCAAAGTGAGAATTGAATCAAAAAGATAAATCCGCTACGAGAAGAGGTTGAAGTGTGACAGGGCCTGTGGTGTGATTGTTAAAGCATCGGCTCTGAAACTAGAAGCTCATGAGTTCAAATCCCTCAGAAGTTGATCTTCTGCTTTTCTAATGACTGTAGAAGAAGAAAGAAAAAGATAAATGCGCCCGGAGAAAAGTCCAAAGTGTGACAGGTGTCATAGCAGAGTGGGATTGTCTGCGACCGTAAGGCGCCAGTGGTGCAGAGTCTGAGTTCAATTCCATCTGTGGTTGATGTAGCCTGGAATTCCCACTGTGGTGGGTCAGGGAGGGGGCCGTGTCCCCTCCCTGACTTCCACAGCAACAACTGGAGGAGGTTATACATCAGGAAACAATGTCTGACTAGAAGTTTTAATGACAGTCAGTAAAAAGTTCTAAAGTTATGTTTCTAAAATACTAACAGTAGTGTTTTTACAGAACTTGAAAATGAACCACTTGCATTATATACAAACTAAATAGAACATTTACTACAACATTACTTAAGAACAGATTTAACTCATCTTTATTACATAGATAAGATTAGAGAACAAACAAATGCTTAAAGTGATTTAGTTCATTAGACTACTGTTGTTGGTGTTTTAGACATGTAACCGTAGCATTTTACTGCCTCCAGTTACATGAGTTAAATCGAAGGTTATGTTTCTAAAATACTAACAGGTGTAACCCATATACAACAAACAAGTGTTATACTTTTTCACAATTTGAGTACAAATAAAACAATACTGAAAGAAATCTTAATTAATGTAACTAATTAATGGTCATAAGTAATGTTCTTAGATGGGTTACATAAGTAATGTAGTATAATGCAAGTGGTCAATTTCAAGTTTTTTTTTATTAACAAAACTACTGTTAGTATTTTAGAAACTTTTCTCTGACTGTCATTAAAATTTCTAGTCAGACATTGTTTCCTGATGTATAACCTCCTCCAGGTGTTGCTGTGGAAGTCAGGGAGGGGACACGGCCCCCTCCCTGACCCACCACAGTGGGAATTCCAGGCTACATCAACCACAGATGGAATTGAACTCAGACTCTGCACCACTGGCGCCTTACGGTCGCAGACAATCCCACTCTGCTATGACACCTGTCACACTTTGGACTTTTCTCCGGGCGCATTTATCTTTTTCTTTCTACTACAGTTCTTGGAAAAAGATAATAGTGGGATTTGAACCCATGAGCTTCTAGTTTTAAAGTCAAGGTTTTAATATCCATGCCACACTTGTGGACATTTGGACTTTTCTCCGGGCACATTTATCTTTTTGTTTCTTCTTCTACAGTCGTTAGAAAAGCAGAAGATCAACTTCTGAGGGATTTGAACTCATGAGCTTCTAGGTTTCAGAGCCGAAGCTTTAACAATCACACCACAGGCCCTGTCACACTTTAACCTCTTCTCGTAGCGGATTTATCTTTTTGATTCAATTCTCACTTTGACATCAGTATCTGTATGGGGATTCTAAGTCTTTTAATGTTCAATTCTCTGAGAAAATATTTGAAAAGCATCAAAATGAATCACATCAATATCTATCTTCTATAGATGCACTATGACAAAAAAAATATTTAGTAATCTTTTAAGTTGTGTAAAAAAGATAAGAAAGCTGCTGCTACATCTGGTAATTAAAGGCTGTGAGATGAAAAGATGACCCGGATGTTTTTAGACCCGGAAACTGAACAGAAGCGATCCACCTGACTTTGCCACCAGAGGGCAGTGCTTGCTCTCTGATTGGTTCCTGTGAGGGAAGGTTTTAAAAAGAGGAAAGATGAAAATGAATGTAAATGTTCTGGATCAGTTCTGTTTGGTTCTGAATGGGACCAGCTCCTATCTGCAGGTTAATGAGCTCTGATCAGCGCTGTGAGGTTTGGATTTTATAAACTATTAACACTGAAAATGGAAACCATCAGAGAGGAGAGTAAATAAAACTAAGAACAGTTGAAAGGAGGGTTCAGAATTTCTCCATTTAACACAATGATGATGATGATTTGAGTGTTAATGTTGCAAGGATCACTGGGATCCACCACAAACCAGATCTCTATCATTTTATGACGTTAAATCTGCTCCTATGGAAGGTAAGGATACATCAATATTGAATAAATATTATGCACTTTATCTTTATGAATAATTTGTCATAATCATAAAGAATTAGATTTATCTTTTAAAGGAAGGATTTAGATGTTGATCGTTGCGGTTTCTGTGGAACACGAGCTGACAGCAGTTCATCGTTTATAGAGATTATCACTCCACAGCCTCATTTACAGAAACCTTTGTTTAAATTAAATAATAAAATCTATTCTTCTATTGCTGCCGTTTGAAATGTTTAAACTTCCAGTTATGGATCCGTTTGGTTTTTCTCTCCCGTTTTATCTTCTCTCCGTTACTTTGGACCAAACCTGAAGGTTCTCCATGGAGAACCGGGCTGTGCTCCAGGTGAAGGTAAACATTCCCACTCATCAGCAGAGTCAAACTTTGACCCTGCAGTCAATAACCCCCCCATCAGGGATCAGACTCAGACGGACTCAGACGGACCGACTGCACGCTGCTGGATCTGGTTCTGAAGGTTCTGCTTGCAGCTGTGGATCATGGTGGAACCGACGTCCAAACCTGCCGCCGTTCTGCTGCTCTTTGTTCTGCACGGCTGTTTGGCTGAAAATGGTACCGGTACCACCTCTGTTCTTCATAACGGGCCGGTTCTGACCCATTGGACCAGATGATCAGATTCTGCTTCAGGTTAACTTTGAGGTTTAAGCTACAGAACCAGTCGGACCCGAACCGAAGCAGCTGAGCTTCATCAGATTCAGATTAATAATCTCTAGTCTGTCTGCAGATTATGGTTCTGGTTGTTTCCTCAGTAGGTTCTGAACTTTCCAGTGGGACAGTTAAAAGTCTGCAGTGGAACCAGATTTTCCAGTTCAGAAAGCCAGAGCTTCAATTTCTTTTCATCTTTTTCCATATTTTCCCAGTTTTCCTGGACAGGCAGCTGGCGGCTCAGGTGCTGACCCGAACCCGGCGAGCCAATCAGGTGCTGTCGGGGGAGGAGTTTAGACCAGGTAAGTCATCCTGACCCGACCAGACCGGCTCCACCCTTAAAGGAGAAAGGAGTCTGGTCTTTAGATCCTGAAGAACAATAAGCAGCCTGAGCTTTAGAAAAACCTCAAATTAACTTTTAGAGAAAATTAAGCAGTTTCCTGAATAAATGGGACATTTGTACGACTGAGAATTAGGGCTTTTGAGAATAAAGTCACAGCATTACAAGAATAAAGTCGCAACATTACGATAAAAAAGTCCTAAAATTACAAGAAACAAGTTATATTTTATACCAACTCTTCCCAGAATCCCTTTCTTCCCTAAAATGAGGAATGTGGAGCATCATGGGAAGTTCTACTTTAGCATCAGTTTGACAAATCAGGAAATCTTTTAGCAGCAGCATCAAACTGGGCAGGATGTCAAAGTGGACTCTGGTTGCTGATTGGTGGAGCTGGTCTGACGTCATCTGCTGGGCGGAGCTCCAAGCTTTCTTTCTGAAACCGGTTGATGTTTGATGACTTTATTCTCGTAATATTACGACTTTATTCTCAAAAGAGAAGAAAATAGAATCTCTGGCCTGGCTTTAATACTCCGTCGTACATTTTAGTTTGAAGACGTGAAAACTAAAAATAGGGAAGGTCAGGTTCCTGCTCCTCATGTTTGTTCCTCCTCAGGGAACCTGGAGAGGGAGTGCGTGGAGGAGATCTGTGACCATGAAGAAGCCAGAGAGGTGTTTGAGCATAATGCTAAAACGGTAACACCCCAATTACACCCCCCCCCACCCGTTAGCTCTGAGCGCTCTGAGGTCCCATCATCAAACCCACATTTACTCTTTATCTCCGCAGGAAAAGTTCTGGACCAGATATCTGGGTAGGTGCCGCCCGGGCGCTCTTCTTTAACAGATCAGATGGTGATGAAGACAATTATGGTGATGATGATGATGACTGTGATGATGATAATGATGGTGATGATGGTGATAGTGATGATGATGATGATAGTGATGATGATGATGATGATAATGATAGTGATGATGATGATAGTGATGATGATGGTGAAGATGATAATGATAGTGATGATGATGATGATGATAGTGATGATGATGATAGTGATGATGATGATGATGATGATAGTGATGATGATAGTGATGATGATGATGATAGTGATGATAGTGATGATGATGATGGTGATAGTGATGATGATGATAGTGATGATGATGATAATGATAGTGATGATGATG